CATATTTATACCAGTACAACGATCGCTGGGATGTCAATGCTCTGGTTCACCGTAAACCGCGAGAGGAATCGAAGGACTGTTAGTCTATGTATAGTAACAGTCACGTTTACCTGTTTCTCATCTGTGAGTACCATTAAATCATCTCCTATTGCAGTTTAATCCCGTGTTCTACTCATATCTGCTGCTGACGGAGGAGAGTGCCACCTGCTATGTGGATGCTGACCGGATGAGCAACAAGGTATGTCCTCGTGCGTGACCCGTGGCAATTTTAAGAATACTCTCCTACTCCTCAGTCGTACAAGATGTATTTCAGTGAAATCTCGGAGTAGCGCAGGAATTTATGCTCTTTGTTTGTATACACATACATCCCACAGTATAGTACACATACACAATCGCAGATTCAATCAGTCTGTTCCATCCGATATGTCAACAGCATTTTTTTTGTTAAGCTGTAGACCAATCATAGGGCATGTGTTGGGGGTTTAACAACAGCTAACAACGCTCTATATGGTGATTCCAATCTATCGACGTTTACCGTATACGATGATTCCAATCTTATAACGTTTACCTTATACGGTGATTCCAACCATTCAATGTTTACCTACCCCACATAGGCCAAGGCTAGCATTGCAAACATTGTGGAACTGAAGCCGTACGATGCCATTCTCGAGGATATCAAAAATCTGCCCAGTGATAAGGTGAGCTCAAATTGAGTACAAGTATATACCGGTAAGCTCTGTATACTCTCGCCACTCTCCCACTCATGAGATGTCAACCCTCGTGCCGAATGACAGGTGATTATATTATGTCTATGGTTGACAGGTGATTATATTATGTTTGTCTGTGGGTGACAGGTAATTATAGTAGGTGACAGGTGGTTATAGTATGTCTGTGGGTGACAGGTAATTATAGTATGTCTGTGGGTGACAGGTGGTTGTAGTATGTCTGTGGGTGACAGGTGGTTATAGTATGTCTGTGGGTGACCGGTGGTTATAGTATGTCTGTGGGTGACAGGAGGTTATAGTAAGTCTGTGGGTGACAGGTGGTTAAAGTATGTCTGTGAGTGACAGGTAATTTTAGTATGTTTGTGGGTGACAGGTGGTTATAGTATGTCTGTGGGTGACAGGTGATTACAGTATGTCTGTGGGTGACAGGTAATTATAATATGTTTGTGGGTGACGAGGTGGTTCTATTATGTCTGT